ATAGTCAGACTGCTAATCTTGGGCAAATATAAGATTGTATTGCTAATCTGTTGACATTTAGCACAAATTAGCTATCAAATGGGCCAACTGTTACTCTTGAGAACTTTTGGAAGTACATTAAAATACTTCTCATTTCCTATGTGTTTCTTTCGCTGAAATAAAATCTTAGGGCCTTTTATTAGGCAGCAGGGGCCCCCCAAACAATCTAATAGCTAGCTGATTAACTGTCTGTGATATCAAATCAGCTCTGTCGTCAGAATGGTTACAGTTTCAGGGTCACAAAGTGAAATAGAAAAAGATTTCACTAACCTTTGATTCGGGAAGTGAAACTTTTGTTGAAAAAAGCTATTTGCAGACTTGGCTCCCTTTTAAGCATTTCTGAAGTTTTTAAAGAGTTCTGTTTCTACTTTTAACACGACTTAGGTGCTAGCATATTCACCTGAACTGACTGACTGACTGAATGAATGAATGAATGAATGAACAAACATATTATGCATGTTGGAGATTTGCCTTTCCTTCCTCTGATATCCCTCTAGTCTAGCAGCTTCAGCACTGAAGTGTTATTGTAAAATTATACATGGTAGAATTTGAAATGGTGTATCAGGCAGGGTCCTGGCAAGAAACAGAATCCAATTCAGAAGGTTCAAGAGACTTTAACGGAGGGGATATGTATAGAGTCAGGGTGGGTTTAAGGTCACCCACAAGTGATGTTGAGGCACTCAGACCCTTGCCACAAGGGGAAGCTATTTCTGCCCTTCGGCCTGGAGAGACAATAGGAGGAAATGTGTTCCTCTAGTTCCTGAGAGCAGGGGCTGCAGAGGAGGGAACACACCACAGAAGCCAGGGTCGTGGAGGGATTTAGCCCCTGCCAGGGCACTGAGATTGTGAGGAAGAAATGCTCTGACCTCTCTTTCAACTTTCTAATCCCCATTGTTCAAACCCAGCAGGAAGTCAGCCAGCAAGGGAGCCTGGAGAATCAGCCCATGGCATAGAGAAGAGAGAAAATAGATCTGGTAGTGACAGGGGGTGCAAACAGAGAATAACCAGCCAGATGGGAAATGCTATTTTAGGACCCAAAACCTGCCAAAAAAGAATGGTATACTCAAGGAATTCAGGACTCTGACCTCATTTGATCTCGGGTTAAGAGTCTCCAGAGCACCCACTTTCTGGTAATTTCTTCCAAGTACCCTTGTAGTAAGCACCTGATGCCAGCCAGAAGAAGTGCTAGTCAGTTCTGTCTATCCCAGTCTCATCACTCAGGTCTGTAAGTGGTTATGGGACTGAGAGGACTGGTCCTATATCCCACTGACGGGAGAAAGTACAAAAGGAAAAAGATAAAAAGGAAAGTCACTGAGAATCCCTCCAAAAAGAATAATAATTAGGGATGGACTAAGAGTAGTAATGAAGCCTGGGGCCAGCAGGTGCATGAAAATGACTTTAAATGGTTTCACAGGTACATGGTAAAGAGTGTTCCATCTCAAACTCTTGCCAGTCCTCACTATCTTCTGGAGCCATTATTTGTGAGCAGACTTGGTGTCCTCTTTGTCATAAATAGGGAGCCTTGAGAGATGATTACTGTCAGTATGGACTGGGATATTACACTTCTTACCTATCTCCAAACAGGAAATTTGTGTTTGATGTTAATGTCGTTTTTCCATCTTGAAAGATAAAAAGAATATTAAAAAAGAAGGGGGAAAAGATACCACAATATGATGAAATTTGGATCTATGGATTGTCATCTGCTATAAGGCAATCACTTAAAGCCTATACTGGTTAACTCTGCATTAGCAGCTGTCAAGAAATAAACATCCTTACCTCATACCTTATTCCATGGTTTGTTATTATAATCTTTTGCACTTCCGTTGCTTCATCATACTTTCCAGGAAAAATCCCAAACCTGATTAAATCTAGCTCTTCACCTCCACTGCCCCTGCACCTGAGACCTCAATGTAACTGGAGAAAATACACAGCCAAGTTGACTGGTTGCAAAATGCACAGCCACTAACCCCAGCTGAGCTGTCAGTAATGGCCAGCAATCCTGCCCTATCTCCCTAATCCATTCACTTTCCCACTCTCCTAAATAGTAACACTTTCTCCTTTCTGCTCAAACCTCTAGCACTTATTTCCCACATCCTATCTTGGTGCAGATAACCTTGCTTCCTGTTTCACTGAGCAAAACAGAAGCAATCAGAATGGACTCTACAAGCTCCCACCTCCTCATCCATTCCACCAACAACAGTGCCCATAGGCTTTGCCTTCCTCCTAGTAGTAGAGAGCTTCTACCTAAGACAAACCTCTTCACTTGGCACTTGCTTTCTCTCTTTCTAGCACTTCACCCCCTCCTCTCTTGTATTATCTATTTTCTCTTTCCATTGGATCATTCATTATCATATAAGCATGTTATAATTTTCCCCAATCTTATAAAAAATAAACATTAAAAATCTGTTGATGCTGCATCTTCCTTAGCCACTGCCCCATTTTCTGATATATATATATATCTTCAATTCCTCTCATCACACTCTCTTTTGAGCCAGTCTACACTATTCAGGTTTTTACTCCCACTACCCTATGGAAAGGAAACCCTGGTTGCATAGTGGTTAAGAGCTACGGCTGCTAACCAAAAGGTCAGCAGTTCGAAGCAGTTCGAATCCACCAGGTGCTCCTTGGAAACTCCATGGGACAGTTCTACTCTGTTCTTTAGGGTCGCTATGAGTCGGAATTGACTCAATGGCAATGGGACCCTGTGGAAAATGCTCTTGCCAAGTGACATCTATGTTTAAGGTCACCATATACTTTATCACTCAAACCAGGACACATGTGAAAGTAAAATGGGGTGCTACTGGGAGCCCTGGTGGAGCAATGATTAAGTGCTTGGCTGCTAACTGAAAGGTCTGCGGTTCAAACCCATCAGCCACTCTGTGGGAGAAGAGACCTAGTGATCTGCTACTAGGAAGATTACAGCCTAGGATACCCCATGGGGCAGTTCTACTCTGCCATATAGGGTTGCTATGAGTCAGAATCGACTTGACGACATACAAGAACAACAACAACATTGGTTAAGTTGGGACAGCAGAATAAACTATGCTTGGTGGAAACAAATGTTCACGATATCCCAGATGATAAATTCAGTAGCCAATTCTCAACCCTTATCTTCTTTGACCCATCTGATTACTGACCCTTCTTCACTTGGTTTACAGGACACCACACTTCCCTGTTTTCCTTCTACCTCACATAGTCCTCCTTCAAGCTCCTTTTGCTTTTGCTTATCACCCCCACTTCTAAATGTTAGAATGCTTCAGGACCCAGATCTCAGATCTCTTTTTTCTCTATATAAACTCACTCCCTTGGTAATCTCATCTACTCTCATAGCTTTAAATAAAGTCTTTACATTGAAAACTTCCAAATTTCTCTCTCTCCTGAAGCTTTCACCTGAACTATAGACATGTCTAGACTACAGACAGAGGTTTACTTGTGTTTTATTTACTATGCAAAGGCATTCGACTGTGTGGGTCATAACAAATTACGGATAACATGGCAAAGGACGGGACTTTCAGAACACTTAATTGTTCTCATGCAGTACCTGTACATAGATCAAGAGGCAGTTGTTCAAACAGAACAAGGGGATACTGCGTGGTTTAAAGTCAGGAAAGGAATGTGTCAGGGTTGCATCCTTTCACCATACCTATTCAATCTGTATGCTGAGCAAATTATCCAAGAAACTGGGCTACATGAAGAACACAGCATCAGGATTGGAAGAAGACTCATTAACAACCTGCGTTATGCAGATGACACAACCTTGCTTGCTGAAAGTGAAGGCGACTTGAAGCACTTACTGACGAAGATCAAAGACAGCTAGCAACAACAAAATATTAATGAATTGAGAGGAAAGCTAATTTAGATGCAGGCAGCAGTAAATAATCTGCTTCCTGAATGTCCTTTCCTGGGCATGTGTTAAAGTCAGTCTTACAGGCTGCCACTTCTTTATAAAACATTACTGAGCACTTTGATATGATTGGACCTATTAGAGCAACATTTAGTCTCATCTCAAAGTTTATCCTCATTTCAACCCAAATCTTTGCAGCCAATCACAGATTTCACCATGGTCAGTATTGAGTTAACACTCTTCTTCTATTATAGTCTCAGAGTTGGAGAATCAATCTTTTGTACCAAGCATGAGGCCTCTTGGATACAAACAAATGCTAACATATTGGCTCTGTGCCCACCCCCCAGAGAATGAGCCAGTTTAGAAGATGAACTCAAATAATTTTGCACTCGCCACTTTAAACTCCAACACCTTTTATTTTAATTGTTTTCACTGTAAATTATTCTAAAAAATGCATCCCACATATCTGTCTTTTGCAACAGATGATACTGAACTTAATCTTTTTTTATGATTTCAGGATATCATGGTTATGGATATCAGTCATCAACCTGTGTGACTGCTGTATGTGGGTGACAAAAACAGTCGTTCAAGGAAAATGCTTCCCTTGCTAAGGTTCATGGGGCCTTAGTAGTCCATCTGATTAAGTAATGCTTGCTATTTTGAGCTTCTTGCCTTCAAAACCCCTCCTACCTCCACAAACTCACCAGATATAGAAGCAGAAGCATTTTCACTAGAAGTGGAACACAATCATGAAGGTCTGACACACACACTTCCCCTCCATTTAATATGCTGCAAATTCTCCAGCAAAACCTGACTTGCAGAGATAGGCCAACAAGTTTGCAAAATACGTTTTTTCCGTGACTGTGATATTTTTGTTGCTAGCTGCTATTGAGTTGGCCTCGCTTCATTGTGACCCCATACAAAATGGCATGAAACGCCGTCCAATCCTGCTGTATCACCATGAACAGTTGCAGATCAGACTGTTGTGATTCATAGGGTATTCACTGGCTGATTTTCTTCCTAGTCGGCCTTAGTCTGGAAGCTCTACTGAAACCTGTTCAGCATCATAGCAACACACAAGCTTCCACAGAGAGACGGATGATGGCTGCACATGAGGTGCATTGGCCTGGAATCGAACCCAGGTCTTTTGCATGGAAGGCAAAAATTCTACCACTGAACCACCACTGCACCACCACTGCCCCCCTGCCGAGTGTGGTATTACCTAGCATTTATTGAGTGCCGCCTATGTGCCACAGCCTGTGTTAAATGCTTTTCATACATTATAACAAGTCTATGAGGTAAGTCCAAATATTAATCCCCATTTTATAGACACTGAGGTGGAGAAATATGGAGTCATTTTTCTAATGGCAGAAGCCAGTTTTGAAGCCAGGCAGTCTGACCTCAGATTCTTCAGAATGATAGCCTGTGGGCTGAGTATGGCCCACAGATGTGTTTTGTTTGGCTCACGTGAGATTTATAACTTTGGGGCCACCATATGCAGTTGTGCAGATTGTGCCCAGAACAAAGGCTCAGCTGAGGGGTGAGTGAGGGCTAAAATCCAGCCTGCATGCCAGTTGTTCAGCCATAGGCTCTGGCAGGAAGGAGGGGGGCATTTCCTAATTTGGATAAAGGGGCTGTGTTATGGATTGCTTATGTCCCCCCAGAATATGTGTTATAAACCCTAACCTTTATGCCTGAGGTTATAATCCCTTTTGGGAATGGGTTGTCTTTGTTATGTTAATGGGCAGGATTAGTATACGGTCTGTCTTGAGTTAATTTCTTTTGAGATATAAGAGAGATTAAACGAGTAGAGCAGAGATGGTGGAAGACTGATGCCAAGCCACACAGAGATCTCCAAGGAACCAGGAAACAAGCTGAAGAGACAAGGACATTCCCCCAGAGCTGACAGAGAGAGAAAGCCTTCCCCTAGAGCCACACCCTGAATTCAGACTTCTAGCCTCCTAAAATTTAAGAAAGTAAATTTGTTTGTTAAAGCCACTCACCTGTGCTATTTCTATTATAGCAGGATTAGATAACTAGACAGGCTAGATAAGCTCGTGGCAGCCCTGGTCAACGGTATCAAATTGGGATATTTCCCACAAAATTCCAAACTTCTGGCTTTTCTTGGAAAGGAAGGGGGGGAAGGGAGGAAGGAAAGTAGGTAGGGATAGAGGAAGGAAGGAAGAATGGATGGCAGGCAGGTAAGAAGGAATAAGATCTGAACTAACATTCCTCTGTGGGCAACAATTTCTCTAGAAGGGACAGGTCCTTACCTATGTACAGCCTGATTCACTTTGTATATTTATGTTACTTGACAAAAAGCTATAGGCTTTGAGTTTATGACCTCTGTCCTACATTACACTTGAGCATTTGTTTGAAAATCCCCTCCGTTCCTCAAAACTAAGGCCCAGACATGGCGTTTCAAAAAGTTCTAGTCCCTTCTGCAGAGCAATAGAAAGCAAGTGCAGCTCTCTGTGCCAACTGAGTCTACAGGTGACCAAGCAGGATGGATTCTGTTTTCTTTGTAGGCTGAGATTTCTTGTTATTTTTAGGACACACTGTTCTCTTGAGACTTCATGCCTGGCAGTGAAAGAAAAGAACCAAAAAACAAAACAAAACCCAACTTTGCTGTAGGTAGCCAGCTATGGGGCAAGGGCTCAGGTGGCTAATAACTTTTCCCCTTACAGCACTTCCTTATCAATGTGAAAATTGCACACGAGTATTTACATTTTGGGGGCACCACTGCTAGCTTCTCCTCACACCACATCAGACCCCACCCAGGCCTGGAGCTTGTGCGCAATCATTGAAGAGCCACAGAAAATGGCATTTGGAAGATAAAACTTGTTGTTTACTGAACAGGAGTCCAACTGGTGCCTACCCAGCTAGCGCTCCGGTATATATTACATTTGTCTCTGCCAAGCTGATGTGTCTGAGCAGTTCCACATGGCCTCCCCGAGCACTGACAGAATGACTTGCTGCCCTGGTCTATAGAGACACCTGTTGCCAATAATGCAGCTAGGAGACTTAGAACTTCATCACCCTTCCCTACGTTTGGCTGCGGACATCGCACAGTCACCAGTCCTCACTGGCACATGCCTTGCTTTACCACAGGCGCCAGAAGGAAATCATTCCACCTGTTGGATGTCTGCCCCACACCCAGGAGACTGGAGAAGGGCAATAACCTTCACTCTGTCAAGTTCATCTGAAGTAAGGAAAAGCAATAGCCATAAAAGTTTAGATCAGAGGTTCTCAATTTTTCTGTGCATCAGAATTACCTCCTGAAGCAGAGACTGGAAGTTGCCTATTCAATAATCATTCTTTCTCCTTGTTCTGTACCTGCATAACTCATTTTTTATGAGGGTGTCAATGTGCCCAGTAGTTCCTGGGTGGTGCAAATGGTTTGTGCTCATCTACTAACTGGAAGGCTGGTGGTTTGAACCCACCCAGTGGTCTGCAGAACATAGGCCTGGTGATCTGCATCTGTAAAGATTATAGCCAAGAAAACCCCATGGAGCTCAATTCTATTCTGTAACACAAGGGGTCACCCCATGAGTCAGAATTGAGTCAAAGGCAATGAGTTTTTTTTTTTTTCCAGCAATGTGCCCAGCTTAAAACAAAACAAAACAAAACAAAACCCTATATTTTCCAGGTTCCCTTGCAAAAAGGGATGGCCATATGACACTGACCAATGAGATAATAAGTAAAGGTATGGAGTAAGACATCTAGGAAAGAGAACTAACTTGGCTGGCTTGTCCATTTTATCTTTTGCCCTTTGCCCTTCACTTTCTTCCTGCCTGGAAACAGACATGATGGATCTCCTACAGCCATTCTGTGAACACAAGGAAGAGGGCCAACACCATAAGGACTGCGGAGCAGAAAGCTAGAAGAAGCTCATGGCATTTTCTGATAGAGACTGTAATGGTTATTAGTATGGGGACTTAATTTACTTAAGTAAATTGAGTCTCAATTTCTTAAGGCATGATATTACCTCCCTTGTGGGTTTTTATGGGGAATTATTTAAATGAGATAATGTGGGTGAAATTGCCTCAAAATGGCTGATAAAAAGCTGTCAATCAACGAACAAATAAAGCTTTCCTTTCTCCCTTCTATCATTTCATATAGGATTAAGAATAAAAATGAGACTCATCCTCAGCCTCCCATCACTAATCAGATCTCCAGACTCAAGGGAAAATTAAGCCAGACTTACTTGATCTCTTGTTAGCACTTACAGAGTAGGTCTCAGTCTACAGTGTTTTTTGACATGGTGTCAACTGGAATAGATGTACATTGAGTAACAACGCCCTAGGAGTGGGAAAGAGGTTCCCCTCAAGGTGAACAGCAGGAGCCGAAGGAAAGTAGCAGTATGGGCACTGCCAGGCTGGGGCAGAGAGAAGGTACTGCCTTCCTCAGTAGGGCCCCTGAGATAACCTGAGGTAACGCAAACATAAGGAAGTGTACCAAATCCCCTCACTGCCCAAGACACCCATCCCAGGGAAACTATAGCCAAGTAGAAAAGCAAAGCACGAGATACACTGTAGAACTTCAGGGCCTGGAGACACTGACATAGAAGGCATGCCAATCCTTCCCATCTACCAGCACACGCGCTATTCTGAGAACCTATGTGCACGCAAGCTGCTGTCTCTTACAGCCTAGACCTTAGAGTAGGATACAGGACAGTTCACTGTGATCAAGTAACTTTTTTCCAATGCTGGACCATTTTTTACAAGAATTATAAAATTCCACAATTTCTCTTTTTTAACGAGCAGTTCTTTGGCAACACATGAATCTGATAACTTCCTTCTCTTTAATGCAGAGATTAGAATTTCTTTTCTGTAAAGGGACAGAGAGTAAATATTTTACACTTTATGGGTGTCTTAGTCATCTAGACTGCTCTAACAGAAATACCACAAGTGGATGGCTTTAACAAAGAGAAATTTATTTTCTCACAGTTTAGTATGCTAGAAGTCCAAACTCAGAACGTCAGCTCCAGGGGAAGGCTTTCTTTCTCTGTTGGCTCTGGAGGAACGTCCTTGTCTTCAATCTTTCCCTGGTTGAGGAGCTTCTCAGGTGCAGGGACCCTGCGTTCAAAGGACACACTCTGCTCCCGGTGCTGTTTTCTTGGTGGTATGAAGTCCCCAATTCTCTGTTTGCTTCCCTTTCCTTTTATCTCTTGAGAGATAAAAGGTGGTGCAGGCCACACCCCAGGGAAACTCCCTTTACATTGGATCAGGGGTGTGACCTGGGTAAGGGTGGTGTTACAATCCCACCCTAATTCCCTTTAACGTAAAATTACAATAACAAAATGGAGGACAACCACACAGTACTGGGAATCATGGCCTAGCCAAATTCATATACACATTTTTGGGGGGACATAATTCAATCCATGACACCTGCCCTGACTGGCAACACAACTCTCAGGTGTATATCAGTATGTGTAGTGAGTGGGTTCAACAGTAGCCCCCCAAAAGAAATGTCAAAGTCCTAACCTCCTGGACCTGTGAATATGATCTTATTTGGAAAAAGGTCTTTGTAGATATAAGTAAGCATCTCGAGATGAGATCATTCTGGATTTAGCGTGGGCCCTAAATCCAATGACATGTAGGTGTCCTTTAAAGAGAAAGGCAGAGGGAAATTTGAGACACAAGGGAGAAGGCCATTTGAAGACAGAGGGAGATCAGAGTGATGGGCCTACAAGCCAAAAAATGCCAAGGAATGCCAAGGACTGATAGCCACCACTAGAAGCTCAGAGACAGTATGGAACAGATTGCCTCTCAGAGCCTCCAGAAGGAACCAACCCTGCTAAAACCTTGATTTTGGACTTCTGGCCTCTAAAACTGTGAGATAATAAATTTCTGTTGTTTTGAGCCACCCAGGTTGTGGTAATTTGTTACAGCAGCCCTAGAAACTAATACCATATGTATTTGTTCCTAGTCATGAGATTTTCCCCACACAGATTTTAAGCCGTATGGAAATCACGGTCACCTTTTAGCCTTGCTACATCCCTTGTCTTGACCAGCACAGTTTAGGGTATACTTTAGATGCTCGGTGAAGTCTTGCTGTTTGAGTGAATATTCTAGTGATGCTCTCTTCTAAAAGATATCTTTTTGTTAAGTTACAAATTATTTCCAAATTCATCCTGAGAGCAATTGTGCTAGCAAGACTCATCACAAAAATCAATTGAAAAATAT